ACCAAGCGCGTTGAAGCTGAGATGTCCGAATCGGGCATGTCACAGCCATGGTTCCTCGGTGTGCCTTGCCGCCAGGCACACTAGCTGCTCTACCTTCAGGTCGAGCAGGTACAACCGGTTCAGGGACCTCTTCACCTTGGCGAGAAGTCACTGCTCCCGGTCTCTGATCCTAAGGACTCCGTCCTTAATCAGTACCTCGCTACCGCGCTCATCCAGCTGACCAATGCTGATGATGCTAGAACGCAGCTGCGAGATGTAATATACATCCGTTAGCGCACGGTGCTCCCCGTTCTGGCACCTGATGATGATGGTGCCGCGCCCTTAGATAGCCACCCTTGAGCCGTCACCAAACTTCACCGTACCGGTAACATCGTCGTTGAGCTCGGAGAAGGATGCCTTGGAGCCTATCATGTGGTTACTGGCACCAGAGTCTAGATACCACCGCTGCTCCTGGTCGGCGCCCACACGTCCGAGGTGGACTTGGGCGCGCGGTTCGTCGAGGTTGACAGCCTTCAGGGCCTTCTCCTAGGTCCTTCCACCGTCGTCGCCTCTTCCTTCTCCTCGGCCTCGACGTTGTGCAGTGCACAGAACATCGCCATCAGGATAGTGGCCTCATCATCATCATCAGCTTGCGCCAGATGAGCCTCAGCCTTTTCTCCTGCTTGCGATTTTGGCACTCCCGTGCCCAATGGCCCGCCTTCCCGCAGCGCCTGTAGGCGTTGGGTCAACTTTCTTCTTCTTCTCCGAAGAAGCCTTACCGTGGCGCTTGCCATTGCCACCACGATTGGAGGAGGCTGCATTCCCAGAGTTCCTCCGAGCAGCCCACTCCTCTTTCTGTCAGCAGTAGTTTGCCGCTGTCCTTCGTTGCTGTCACCTGCTCCAGGTGCTCGTCCACCGCCCGTAGACGGCCTGTCACATCCTCAATGGTGAGGATGGATAAGTCTAGCATCGTCTCTATAGAGAGAGCGATCTGGATGTACTTTACCGGCACGGAGTGGAGGTACTTAGAGACCGCCTCCTCTTCATCGATGGTGACACCGTGGATCTTTAGCTTGCTGATGAGCGTTTGCAGGCGGAGAGAGAAATCCTCTACTATTTCACCATCCTTGAACTTGAGGTTGGCGTACTACTGCTTCAGAAGCTGGGCCGTCACCTTCTTTGCGCGGTCGGAACCGACGCGCATCGCCGCAATAGCCTCCCACGTCTCCTTAGCAGAGCTCTTCGCCCCCAACGGCTCCTTGTACTCCGCCGGTACAGCTGCGAGGATAGCCTCCAACGCTGACATGTCATCTTCTTCATTGTCGGTGCCCTTGCCAACAGCATTCCAGAGCCGTCGGGCTCTGAGCTTGACTTTCATGGTCACCGACCACTCTCCATAGTTGGTGCGAGTCAGCGTCGATCAACTGGTGCCGCTGACCTCCCGCACCGTGCGAACAACGACCTCCGATCGTGGCTAGACAGCCACAACAGTGCCACTGTTGTCGCCCATTTTCGAGCCGTTCGTCATCGCCAGCGATTAGTCCGGTGACGGCGCTTGTACAACTCCGATACCACTTGTTAGCCCACAGGATCACCGGCTCAGGTGAGTCGATCACTCATCAGTCTTGCCGACCACGCCGAGCACGCCAGAGGCTATCCGACCACACACACTATGACTAGAGGTAGAAGAAGAGGGAGAACAGCATATACACACACAATATAAGCACCAGCGTTGGCCGGAGCTATGTATAGGAGATGGTAAAACTAAACTCTCTTTACTGAGTTGCAGTGGCAAACTATTTATACAACTCTATCCTATATCTAGTCCTAGTACAGCTGTCATGCTGCTACAGTTACTGGATAACACAGTATGACTGACTTCTGCGCCTGTCCCTGCATGTGGCTACAGTGCGGCGGGTGAGCCGTTCGGCGCCTGCCTCTTCAGCGGCTACAGTCCCACAGCAGGGGGCCAGTTCAACATCGCTTTCTCTTGCTATGTGTTCACACGAGCAAACAGTAGATTATCTAACACTTATGCACTCGCGGCGGTACCTGTGTCTCCCATAGCTCAGTGACTTTGGCGATCCCTTCCGGACACCATCTGATCCGCTCCCGTAAACCTCGGATGGAAGAGCAGCCTGAGAAGATATGATCTGCAGTTTCGTCGCCCTCCTTGCAGATTTCGCACTGTCCCTCTTGCAGGATATGTTTGTGAACGAGAGATGTTCGGCAGTGTATCCTCTCCTTGGCGAGCAACCATCCAAAGAGTTTCACCCGTGGCGGGGCAAAGTTCTTCCAGACGAACTCAAATGAGGGGCAAACCTGATCACCTTTTGTTGAGGGAAGGTAGATCACTCCCGATATCAACCTGTGTGAGTCGTCCTCGAAGAAGCTTGTGCGCTGGTCGGGGTCATCATTGAAGCTGACGTTGAGTAGGAGGTCAGCAGCTGCTTGGGCGGCCAGTCGCCGCTGCATGAGGCTCCTCAAGCCTGTGTCTACGACGTCGCGCGTCCCTCAAAGTGGCTGAAGAGTGCTGGCATGTATGTCGACACGACAGCGGACCATCCATCAGCCAGCTGTCATGCCAGAATGTTGTGTCTCGGCCATCCCCTGTTGCGACTCTCGTGATGCTCTGGTACGCCGGAAGGAGGTCCCGTAGCGCTGCCCAGTGTCCCGGCCATTTCTCGATCGAGGTCTGAGAGCCTTATGCGCTCCTCAGCCCAAAGAGCCCACGCAGAAGGCAGGATTTTTGGGTGTCGATACGTTTGATCCCAAGCCCGCCATCCTCCTTTGCTTGGCAGACGTCTTCCCAGGCCACTAGACATTTTGCTCCTGATGCCTTGTACGTGCCCGTCCATAGGAACGCTCGCCGCCGAGCATCGATCACCGCCCGCACCCCCGGCGGAAGCATCGTTGCTCCCATGGCGTAGGTTGGGATTCCAGCCAGCACCGAGTTCATAAGTACCACCCGGCCGACCGTGCTCAGGAGCAGTGCTTTCCAACCAGCTAGGTACCGATCCACTTTTGCAATGAGGGGGGCGAACGCCGACAGTGGGAGGTTCACATTGGAGAGCGGCAGCCCAAGATATGTTTGCGGGAACGTGCCCTCCTGGCACCTTAGGATGTCCATGATCCCCTGAAGGTTGACCCTAGATGGCAGGTGCATCGGAGTGACAGTGCTATTGTTGGAGTTGATCCTCAAGCCTGTGGCTGCCGAGAACATGTCCAGGGTTCGTTTCAGTCGCCGGACATCCTCTTGATCTGCCCTGACCAACATGATGGTGTCGTCCGCGTACTGAAGAATCGGACACGTACTGTCTGTGAGGCGGTGGCGGATGCCCGTGTCCGCCTTGATGAGAGCTTGGAGCAATGGAGCACATCCGCGACCAGTACCGCTGACTTCGACGTCTTGAGCAGCGCCTCTATCCACTGGCACCATGTTGCCGGGAAGCCTCGGACCTCAAGGATCCTTATAGCAGGCTCGTCCAATTCACTGAGTCAAAAGCTTTGGCGAAGTCGAGCTTGATGACCAAGGTTGGCGCACGACGTTTGTGACAGCACTGCACCAGCTCTGTCGCCATCACGAAGTTCTCCGATATGGAGCGTCCTTTGATGAATCCGGTCTGGTCAACGTCCACAAGAGCAGGGATTTGTTGCTGCAGGCGCGACGTGAGGAATTTTGTTAGGATCTTCACCGTGCAGTTTTGCAGGGACACTGGGCGCGCGGAACGCTCCCGGTGTCACCTCGGCCTCCGTCTTCGGGATGAGCACGGTGAGTGCCCAGTTGACGCGCTGAAGGTCGACCTCCTCTCTGTGGAACGCGTTGAGGAAGGACATCACCGCGTCCTTGGTTGTTCGCCACGCCGCTGCATAGAAGCCGGGTAAGAAACATGTGGTCAAATAGAGCAATTGGAGTGTGTTCTCGAGTGAGAAGAGAAGGATGTCTGCCAATGCAAAGTGATTGAATCAAAGCAAATGTCACCTAATTCATGAGTGAAATTCGCTTGTTGCCACATGCCCCTACGATAAGCAAGTAATTAAGGACTGAAAGTGTGTGTTTTCCTCCAGAAACCTCGAGAACATGCTGAGCACATTTTTCATTTAGAAAAAGAAAACTGAAAAAAAAACCTCACACACAACGACTAAAACGGGAAGAGAACAATACAGACCGGAGACAAAAGCTCTAAAACCTTGGGTTTAACAAATAATTTCTCCTACAGGGCAAATGCTGGATGCAATATATAGATAGCTAAAAATATATTAAATTATCCACAAATTGGCATGATTTGCATCGAGATAGGGATATGGGGTGGATCCTCCGTTGAAAATATAAGGTATTCAAACATTCAAATTGTCCCGAACAAACCCTTTAAAAGGCAATCACATGCATACCATTATTATTTATATAAAACAAGCTTTTTCACAAAGTTGTTGTCAGCAAAAAATGCTAATACAACGTGGATGCAATATATTTATATAAAATTGTAGATCTAGGGATGTCACAACTTTCTATTTTAATTATCCTAATTTGGGGACAAATTGTTCAAAAAATAATATAAAATTTCAGCATCATGATTTGCATCGAGATAATATATTTTTTTGTATGAAAATGTGGATATTTTTTATACATTGTAAATCCTACAACTTTGTATCCTGAAAATATATTTGAGGTATTCAAACATAATCAAATTGTCCATCTCTCGAAAAAACCCTTTTTTGAAACCAGGCAATCAATTTGTCCGGTTTTGATAGTTGGAGGATGTTTGTTACCATTATTATCTATCACTAATCTAAATATAGTAATCAGGAAGGGTTATACGCATCATTTGTTGTACCTATAATCTACTACCACATAAAAAACGAGTGGAGGTTTCGTGCACTCGTGTGCGCGCCCGGCCAGGCTACGGTCGTGTGCGCGCTCGCCCCGCCCCGCAGGCAGAGTCCGATACGGCGCCCCCTCGAAACCGTTCGCCGCGCGTTCCTGCTTCCTAGGTCCTCATCCACGCTGTTCTGTTGCCGTCCTACATTCTTTTGCCGTCCGACTCCTTGCGCCTTCCGATCTGAATTCTCTCGATGGATCGGATGGATGTCGAGTTCAGTAGTAGGGCTGGATCTTCCAAGTTCCAACGCTGGTTGTCGCCCTCGCACCACTTCCAGAGCACGATGTTGGTGTCGTCGTAAACGCCGTGGAGGGCGTCGAAGTTGAGGTACATGCTGTTGACCATGTGGACGCAGCGGAAGCCGTTGCTGACGTTACGGCTCTCCATCCGGATCATCGACTCGTCCAGGAAGTCCGGGTTGTAGGGCACCAGCTGCACCGGGTGCAACTGTCGGCCCGAGCGAGTGCTTGATGGCCTCCCCGTCGCCTTGTTCACCAGCGCGAACGCCGGATACCACTCGTGGTCCTTGACGCTCGTGCTCCACCGCATGTCCTTGATCCAGTGCTGGTACTCGTCCTTGGGGTTCGTCGGTGCCAGAACCGCCTTCCCGTCGCGGATGGTCATGGCGTAGTTGGGGTTGGTGCGGCACTACATCGTCACGGTCGTCGTCGGCGGCGGCGGACGCCCGCACCCGTTGCCCTCCACGTTCCTGATCGTTCACCTGCGATATCCCGTACCGCACCGCAGGCGCCTACCCTGGCGTCGCGTTGCCGCCGCCGTACCCGTTCTAGAGCGCTGATCACGGCCGTAGTATGCGTCGTCCATCACGTCGCCTCGCAAGTTGCAACCTCACCTCTCTTTGTTGTCCGATGGTCATCGTTCTTCTTCCCTGATGAGACAATGACACAGACCATGCATGGCGACGGCTGGGCCTGTAGAGTAGAGCCTCAAGCTATTTAAGTTGAAGGCAAACATTCCAAATAAAGTTACCACGACCCATAGGATTCTCAATGCACAATCGTTAATTATCTTTCCATTATTTTCTAAAAATGATCAAATCTAACCCCGGTGCAACGCACGGGCATATATCTAGTATATCCTAAAATTGTTTGGATGCCTTATATTTTAGGACGGAAAGAGTACTATTTCTCTCTTGATGTGGGGTGGATGACTTTTCTTTTCTTAATTTGTCAAGAAATCGTAGAAGTCCTTACATCTGAGCGGAGGGATAAGTAGAAGCCACCATGAAAATTGTGAGTATCCATGTTTTTTGCAAATTGTTGGTTGGATAACCGACACAGATAAGAGTTAGATGACATGCAACATGGACAAGAGTTAGATGACACGCAACATGGATGGGGGATTCTATAGTAGTAACATTTTTGCGAGGCACATTGGGCATTAAAAATCTGGTGAGCAAAAGATACAACCACTTGCACTGACTGTTCAAGTTATTGTTTAGCTCATGGGGGCGACGGTGCAACACAAGTGCGGCGGCGAGCCCCAGGGCAGCGCTCACACGGGGTGGAGGCGCACGGTGGCGCTCGGGAGCTCGCCCCCTCCACCTCGTGCGGCGGCGCATCTAGAAGACCATCGGTGCTCCGAAGACAGGCGAATCCGACGACGATGACGTCTCTCCGATGGTGCGACCCCTCCAGCTAAGAATACGGTGGAGGCGGATCCGGTGAGAGGCCGCGGCGCACACAGATGGGCTTGGCGGGCCTCATCGATGAACTTAGCGGGCCCAAATCGATGGGCTCGTTGTTGTTTTTTTGTAATTTATGAACAAAAGCAGACATTCCTGATTAGCAGTCAAGGTGAAGTGGAGGCGAACGGCCTGCCCGCCTCCATTAATAATTTTTACCAACTCAAAAAATGAATACGGTAACAACGATGTGTGCTTGCGCCGCTGTGCCAGCGCCTATGCCGAGATTAGGGGATGGGAGAGGAGGAATGGAAGGTGGTCAGCTCGACTGCATGTTGTGGCTGCTTCGGAGCAATAGGTGATGCGGGAGGACAGGAGGAATTGTTGCAGTTGCTACAGATGAGGGGAGTGGAGAGATGGAATGGATGGTAGTGACCGGGAAAGAAGCCCGCGGAGGCGGCAATGTGGTAGGAGGGGCGTGAAGAGGCGACGCGGGATCGAGGAAGGCGATGTGGAAACAGAAGTGGTCAGGTCACCGGGCAAAGAAAGTCGATCCGGGAGAAGGGCCGGGGAGGACAGGAGATGATGCGGGAGCTAAGGTTCATATTATATTGAAATATAGCGAGTCGGCATCTGACTGAGCCGGGAGTAGCGTGCCATTCCGAGGTAGCGGCCCACCCATCGAGTCGGTCCAGCACGAGCACAACTACTGTTGGACCATGGCGTGCCTAAGCTGGGCAGCTAGGCCAAAACGTCGGGCCATGGGCCATGCCCATGGGCCTCACGCATCATGGCCATCTATACCCGCTCCACCCCTGCCTTGTTGTGGTTATCCACATCCACCTTTAGCACAATGTCCTATGCTGAAACCCCTCATTATAGCTCACCGGTCCTGCTTATTACCTGCGAATACAATAGATATATATTTTTTTTCTAGAGAAGGACATTGTGGATGCATCGTGCTAAGTTTTAATATATTTTTTCTAGAGAAGGACATTGTGGATGCATCGTGCTAAGTTTTAATATATTTTTTCTTTCCTTCCAAAAAAGAGCGTCCCATAACATATATTTTTTTTAGCACAAGACTTGATATAGCTCCCACTCTAGCTCCTCTGTGCACTATATAGCAAGGAGTTAATTTTCTCTCTTTTTTGAAATGAGCTAAAAGCCGGTGAAATCATTATTTTTTCCCTTTATCAGCTCCAGCCCCTCTGTACATTGTAGCAAGAGGCCAGAATCATATATAATGCGAGCTATGACCTTATAATTGGATGGCTGAAAGATCAAATGTGGTCTAGACACTTGGAAGGCCCTAAAATAGTCACGTGTGGTGGTTTAGACACTACTCCCTCCGTCCCAAAAATAGTGGTGTTCTAGGATTTTTCAGATAGATTAGTAGAGAAGAGAAATGTCTCTAATACACTTAGTTTGTTGGACTTGATTGCCTTAAAAAAGGATGTCCCGTGCTTTACTTGTCTAATTAATATGTGCTGTATGGAAGGAATCAGACTACCTGAGAGCCAAAAGCGTGTCTAAAGCTTAGAACATTTTCTTGGATAAATTTCAAATCATCACTTTTTTTTTACGGAGGGAGTAATAAACAACATGCATGACCTCCTATGGGGTTATGTGTATGTCCCACATGTTAGTCACGGAACTTACCAGTAACTGCATGCATAAATATGCCTCCGATTGAGCGGCTGTGCGCCATTGAAGCATCCATCATCGTCCACGCTGCCAATAGCTCATCTTATCCGGCCGGGACGCCGGAAATAGCTAGTTTATTTGGCATGTCCATAGACGGGGACCTATATATACATATACTCTACATATAACAGCCATGGAAGCTAAGGGAAGAAAGCAGCAGGCCAAGGCAACCGTACCACCGTGCCTCCATCTGCCTCTCCATTCCGACTCTTTGTTCGTTCTGTGCAAGAGGAGGGAAGGAGAAAGGCAGAGAGGCCCCTCCATCCAGATTATTAACACATATACAACTGCGTACTACTCTAACTAGTAATTCCCTTGTCTGCATTATTATCATATAATATACAACTAGTGTATATAGTAGCAACAGTGCACACCAATTAATTAACCTCATTTTTCGTGCGTGCAGTTCCAGTTCTCCATTGCGGTTACACACATACGCTACATATATATCAGTCACTCTCGCTCTGTCGCGGCGGCCGTTCCACAAGAAACACACCAACTTCCTCGCAAGAACTCCCAAAGGAAGAAGAAGAAGAAGAAGAAGCGATCCGATCCACGAAGCGGCGTCAAGCAAGATGGTTAACCCTGACGACGTCCGCAATGTCGTCGGCATAATCGGTGATACGATCGATCCAGATTTCTCTTCTCTTCTCTTCTCAATCGATCTATCTATCTATCTATTGTTAGCTAAATTGTTGCATAGTTTAGTTAAGATTGTGTTCACCGTCATCTAGAGTCAGGGTGCAGGTTGAGCGTGGCCAAGGCGTGCTTGGGTCCACGAACACAACCTGGTGGAGTCAGTTTGTCTAGCGCCATGTTGTGCGCTGCAGCACGTGGTGCACGCCGCGATGAAACGGCGTCGCGCACGGTGTTCGGCATGGCGCGGGATACGCGGAGCCTGTTCCGTGATCTCATTGTATCCGAGTATAAATACAAACAAAGATGGTCAGTTGGAGCTGTGATACAGCAGCATATTTCTTGCGTGTCTGTTATTTCGTTTGCATCTGGCGTTTGCCCTCGCCGCGGTGACCGTGTCCCCGGCGAGCCACCATAGCTTTGCGCGCACTCAAGCTCCAGGATCAAGCCTGGTTCCAACATGTGGTATCAGAGCCAAAAGTTGTCGAGGAGGAGGCGTGTGGCGGCGGTGAGAAGGTGCAGAGGCAGATCGAAGAAGAAGGAGCCGAGAACAATCGCCGTGCAAGATGGGAACGTTAGGCGAGAAGGAGTCCATGGACCGGGCATTCAATCAGGCCGCTGGCAACTTGATGTGGCCGATGCTTACCCGGACCAATTATCAAGAATGGTCCTCGCATATCCAGTGCAATCTGGAGGTCATGTTTCTTTGGGATGCGATCGATCCCGGTGACAAACCGGAGAGGCGCCGAGATCGGTTGGCCCTCGGGGCCATGCTGCGCGGCGTGCCTCAGGAGATGCACTCGATGCTCCTGAACAAGAAGACTATGAAGGAGGCATGGGAGGCGATCAAGACGATGCGTCTTGGTGCAGATCGCGTTAAAGAAGTTAATGCTCAGAAGCTCCTGGCTGAGTTTGAGGCTATCTCATTCAAGCCCGGGGAGACGATTGACGATTTCGCCATAAGGATCACCAAGCTGGCAACCGATCTGAAGGGTCTTGGAGACACCAGCGTTGATGATTCACGAGTTGTGAAGAAGTTCCTTCATGTTATACCGTCGCGATACAATCAAGTGGCGGTGGCAATCGAGATGTTCAGCGACCTCAAGACGCTCACCGTCGAGGAACTCATCAGCCGACTACGGGCGGCTGAAGACAGATTTGAGTCCTCGGTGGAGCAAGTCGTGGACAAGATGCCCAAACTCATGTTAACCGAGGAGGAGTGGGCAGCGAGGAGCAAGAGTCATGCTAGGATAGATTCCTCATCTGGATCGAGCAACAGGGGCAAAGGTCGTTTTGTCAAGAAGGAGAAGCCTAGGGGACACGCCGGCGGCGATGGGCGTGACTCCGGGAATAGACTCACGTCGATGGGAACACCACGACGGAAGGGGCGTTGCCACAAGTGCAACATCTATGGGCATTTCGAAAAGGAGTGCAAGACGAAGATGGATGGGGAGGAGCGTCAGGAGGCTGCACATCATGCCGCTGGTGAGCAGAGAAGGCGCACTCCTGGTGGCGCAGGTCCGCAACGTCGTGCGGATGACCACGCCAAGGACGCATCATGTGTTCCTCAACCAGGAATGCGTGTTCCCAGCGGAACATGAAGAAGGCGCATGGGTACTCGACACGGGTGCCACGA